TATTTTCTTAATTACTCTCCACCACCATCACCCCAAACTGCTTTTTCTATAAAAACTGGGGTTTGAGTTGGTTTCTCTGCTCTTTCTTTGCTGCTCTACTGAGTTTCTTTACTTCTCTTTTAGTATGTTGAAGAAAACTTAGGTGTCATGTCAGTGGGCTTCTTGCTTAGTAGTCCTGATGATGCTGTCATCTGGAGGGGACCAAAAAAAAATGGTATGTATCAAGTGTTCTGAAGAATAATTTATGTACTTCAAAGACTTAATAGCATGAGCTTGTTTCATTACAAGTGCAACTATGGCTTAGTAAGGCATAGGAGAAAATGGGTGAATGGTTACTTACTTTTACTCATTTGATGAAGTCAAATGCTGCATTTTTAATTATTTTTTTTTTAAGCCTGGGGAAAATAAGAATTTCTGTACTGAAGTTGACAAGTGAGAAGGATCTGCATGCCTGGACTATAAAAGTTGAAGTAGACCCTAAAATTTGACATACAGGGAGATACTTTTTTCTCTCTTCCCCATTCTTATCCCTTCTTTTAGGGTTGATCAAACAATTTCTTCGTGATGTGGACTGGGGTGAAATCGACTACCTGATTGTAGATACACCTCCAGGAACATCAGATGAGCACTTATCTCTTGTGCAGTATCTCAGTGCAGCGCACATCGATGGTGCTGTCATAATCACTACTCCTCAGGTACAAGCTCCGAATTTCCATTGGCAGCCGCATCGTGGCAGTTAAAGCCAGTCCTTGGCTTAGAGTCTCTGTTGGACTTCAGGGCAGTGATGGGACAGAACCGAAGTCCCGTTGCTGACTGTCTTGGTTTGTGCCTGCAGCTGGCTGGTGTCCGAGTCAGAGGGGAGTCAGGGATCTGCGTGGGTCACTAAAGCACTGAGCCGTTCACAGCCAAAAGCTGTGATGGTCTGTGCGGGGAAGGGCAATGCAGCACTGCACTTCCTGCTTCACGGTTAGGGTTTGCATTATGGCAAACCTGTAACTTACCAGCAGCTTCATGTCCAGAAGTCAGTAAGAAGTTGAGGTTTTAAGTGGTAAGATGTGCACCGTTTGACAGCACGTGAGGTAGCGGCTGCCTCTGCTCGTCAGCTTTGCGATGTGCATTTTTAAAAGAAAAATCAGCCCCTGGAGAGCTGAAAGACAAAATATGTCAAATTCAAACGTAGGTTTTGATGTCTGGTTTGGGAAGGAACAGGAGACCGAACTAGCAAAAGACACGTAGTTATTTCCACAACGGCTGAAAGAACAAAAAGTAAAGGAAGTGAAGTGGTGAGGGCGGTATCAGGTGAGGGAAGGAGAAGGGAATAGGAGAGCTGACTGAGGTCAGGCATATATGCAAAAAATCTGAGGTGATGATAAGGTATTTCAGATTTAATTTGAAGACACAACAAGCATAGCCTGGTGGTTCTTGCCCCTGCCTGCTCTATGGAGAATTACAAGGCTCTTTCTGTAAAATGAAAGTGTGAAAAAGTTACATTTAAAGACCTAAAGATAGGAGATTAATAGAGGAGATAAAACATAAATAGGGTGGAATCTTTACTAGAGTCAAGTCAGGCTTCAAAACAGAACCACCTTCAGTGGGCTAGAACTGTTGTGCCTGTCGTGGTGCTACTCAGAATTGTTGCTAGAACACGTAACGCGGGTTCATGTCGCTCAGAGTATGAAGAGAGCAGTAATAATTCAGTATGAACTTCCTTTAAAATACTTCTAAAAGTGTAACTTAATGGGTTCAGCATCAAAACATTACAGTCAAGACAGCTGTGTTTGCTACCATTTGTAGGAAGTATCACTTCAGGATGTTCGGAAGGAGATCAACTTCTGCCATAAAGTGAAACTGCCGATCATAGGTGTTGTGGAAAACATGAGTGGCTTTGTATGTCCGAAGTGTAAGGTAAGGCTATCTGTATGCTACAGCGTTTTGTATCTTGACGTGGTTTGTACATGAAACATTGCTCCAAAAATGCCTTGTTCTCCAAACTGCAATATTTTAACTCAGTTTTCATCTCATCCCAGAATGAATCTCAGATCTTTCCCCCGACTACGGGAGGTGCAGAGAAGATGTGCCAGAACTTAAATGTTTCCCTCCTGGGTAAAGTGCCTCTAGATCCTCAAATAGGTAAAGTTCCTTTACTGCACTATGTTTAAAACAAGTTTTTCCTCCCATACTGATGTTATTACTAGAAGACCCTGACTTGGACACTGATAAATTAGAATATAAAACATTTTGTCTCTTGGGTAAATGCCAGTTTTAGATAGAACTTTTTTTTTTAATCAAAAGTTACTGGAACTGTGGCACAGCATGGTGTGAAATGAGGGAAGTGCTAGAATCATTTCCTTAGCCTGAAACTTAATCTTGATTAAGACCAGATCATACATCTTCTCAGCTGAACGATCACACTCCCAGTACAAGATGTCTTTCTCTTTGGTGTAATCACCTGGAAGTGCAGACTGAAGAAAATCATAACCACTGTGAAGGACAGTATCTTGTAGACATTAAAACTAGTGCTTTAACTTCGCTGTTAGTGGTGCCAGCCCGTTTCTGCTGTGGGTAGCGAGGCTTGCTTCCTTGCCCGTTAGCTATTGCCACTTAATGCTTGATTTAATGACATCAGGGAACAGGTCAGTACTTCCAAAATAATGACTGAAGGTTTCTGCTGATAGTATTCCTTTGTAAAGCTGTGAGCTGCAGGTCTAGTTGTATTTCTGACATAAGGACTTCTTCAAGGAATGGGTGCAAGTGGCTGCTTGGAAGGGCGTAACTGGTAGCAGGATGAAGAGCAGAATGAAAGTTCATCTTTCCCCATGGCTTTCCTATTTTTCCTGCCTTTCAAGGAAAAAGCTGTGACAAAGGCCAGTCTTTCCTGTCTGAAGCACCCGAGTCTCCAGCTACATCGTCTTACAGGAATATCATTCAAAGTAAGCCTGAAAATCACTGTGCAAACGAATCCTCTCAGTTCTGAGCACTTCTGCAGTGTATAAAGGTGCTAAACAGAATTGTGTTTTTCTGCCACAAATAACAACGGCAGTTGTGCATAGCCATTATGAAAGTAACAGATGCAAGTACTATGTTCACTTCTGGGTGTCTGTTATGACAGACTTTTAAAGTAATAACGAAATTGTATTTAATAACTGATTTCAATGTTTGACTTCAGTTGTTAATTTTCAGAAAAGGCGTGTGTGTACTTGCTCACAGACAAGGTGTAAGACTCTGAAGCAGGCCTGTGTGGGGCACTCACTGTAGCTGAGTACGATACAGCTGGCTAATTCTTGCCTCCCCTTCTAATTGTAATTGCACCCAAAACCACCTAAAGAGTTGGTGATGTGCCGTTTAAAAATATAAACAGCTGGGAAATTTGTAAAGCCACTGTCAGGGTGATAAAGGCCCAACTTGTGATGTTTGTGCCAGTAGGGGCAGAGTGGTGCAGCAGTAACTTAACTCCTGAGGTGCAACTGAAACACTGTGTTACTTCTTCCCTGTCTTGGCAGGAATTCAGGAATACTGTGATCAACACCATTTTCAAGAAGAAAAGATTATCTAATCTATGGATGGAATAAAAACCTAGTTTGTGTTCAATTATAGAAAAGTAACTTATGTCTTGATTTAATAAAGGACTGTATTCTTTTTGTATATTGCAAATAAATTCTTAATATAAATATTCTTGCCACAGTGTTTTCCATAGTTCAAGATTCTTGTAGTTGACGGGTAGTCTCCAAGTCTGCCAGAAAGCTGTAAAACTGAGTCACTCCGTGTGGCGTAGGCGCAGTCCACGGCCGATGCCATGGTACTAGTGACCTGAATGTGAAGTTGGGGTTTGAAGACACACGTATACGAGATTTTATGTGGGAAGCTAAATACGAAATGCGCTTCGCTGACACTGGGGCAGTGTGTCCAGTGTATCTGCTGTGCCTGCTAGGAGGCTTTGTCCTGCCTGCTGCAGGAGGGTGAGCTGTAACGCCTGCTCGCTCTCACGGGACAACATCATTTAAGTATCTTTCCTTTCAGTGGAAAAGATCTATATTTAGAGTGAAATTCAGTGTAGTATTACCTCCTTTTTTTATAATTGGATTGAGTTTTAAAATAAAAACCTAGTACAGTTCAGGCAAGTTAACTATAGTACAAGCACAGTATTTTACTTACTAGAGGTATCAGAATAAGATTAACATTTTTAACTATTTATACATAACTGGCTGCTTCACACAAGCACTGTGTGAATGTGCTACGTGACTTTTGTTCTTTCTTCTACTTGGCCCTAAGCCTGAACACCAAAAAATAAACATTTGGTGTCTTTAATAACTAAGAGGCCATTTGTGATTTTTAATTCCTCTTTTTATTGAGGAATCAAAACTGCGAGAAGCTAGTATCATGTACAGGAGGGAAAGGCAATTTGATTTTGTGTATTGTTCTAAAAGTAAACAAATGAGCATCATCTTTCAATTACATTCCAGTTCTTGGTTAAGATAATCCAACAGTTTCAGGTTAGTTGACAGATTCTTTTCTTAAAGAGCACATGCTCTGTATAACCTGTAAGCACTGGGGGTTTGCCTCTACAAACCGCTTTTTGATGACACTTTGAAGTAACAAAGGCTCAACCTTTCAGAATTGTAAAGACTCAAACACAAATGGCAAAAACCATTATTTCATGCAGGCAAAACTGAAAAACAGCTTTCATAAATGAGTATTTTTACTGCTCATCCTCTTAGTTCTTCCTTACTTGATTATCTAGCGCCTGTCTTCCCATGTTCTTCGATGTGGTCTGAACTTCTCCTTGCCTGTCCTGTAGAATGAACAGGGGAGCGGGGGGTTAGCAGAACCTGGTATGTAGGAATCTGTTCCAAAAAGCAGGGAGGAGCCTGGTGGGAGGCTGAGGGTTGAAGATCGCTCCCCCAGCCGTGCCTTAGCAGAGGCTTGGCAATGCCTCAGAAGGCATCGCGCCGAGTTCAGCCAAGAGGACGTTTTCCTTTTGGCAGCAGCTCAGCTGCGAAGCCTCAGCCGGCTCCCGAACCCGGAGCACCATGACACCGGTACGGCCCCTCCGAGCGAGTTCCACGAGAGGCTGACGGAGGAGTCGCGCCAGCCCTGCCAGGAGGCAGTGCAGGAACCAAGGCCTGGCAAGAGCCCAAACCAACAGCGTGAGGCAGGTCAGCGGCTGTAGCTGACAGACCAGCTCCGTACTTACTCTTGGGAACATCTGCTGTGACAAAAAGCCTTGAAGTTACTCTGCTGATGCTTTTTTGTCCCCCTAACTTGCAGTGGATGTAGCCATACAGATTAGCAGTCTGAAGGGAGATCCCAGCTATTACAAGAGCCTGTGGACGAACAAAAGTTCAGCTGGGACAAATATGCTGCTATATATAGACTGTAAGTGTAGCATATATATATATATATGTGTGTGTGTGAGTATACGTACTACTTAGATACATGTATGTGCTGTAAGAAGGGGACATTCCTTCCAATAATAAATGACCTTCAAAGAGATTCAATCCTGTCAAACTTAAACACAATAGTTCCTTTCTACAAAATGCCTCTAAATTATCAAAACACCGATAGAATTTTTTTTGTCATTCTCTATCTTGAAAGACTTCATTGCTTTCCTAGAAGCACTCACTTCAAAAAGGACCTACTCAACTGATTCCAAAATCACTTTTTTAAAGCGTGATTTCTATCTAAAAGTTTTGCACCACATGCATAGCAAACCCACAGGCTTGTTTAGCTGACAAATGCCTTTTCTATAAAAATAAGATCCCGTAACTTAGAGATTTACAAAGAGCATTGATAGATGTGAGTCAGTATCTAGCACTAACGGGCAGTGAAAATAATTAGATCCTTTTCTGGTGCTACAGGCTTAGCTGCAGGCAGAACCCATCTGAATGACTAGCGAAATAATTTACAAAAAAATATTTTTCAGCCTGAGAAACAGTTTCCTGGAAACTATTGTATTTTTGTTTGTGTAACTTGCCTTTTACAAGCACCTGAGCAATCTGCCTCTGTGCTAGTTAGGGCTCCTTCTCCAGCCAGCTCTTAGTTTAGCAAACAATCTCTGGTTCTCACAAATAGAGGTGGAGCTGTGGAGGAAGACCACTGGTTTAATGTTAATTATTGCTTCTTTAGCTCTGCCTTTTGAGGCATTAGAAAGCGGTTAATGATTTGCAATTGACTCACACCCATAGCTGAACTTCCTGTTTCATTTAATAATAAAACGTAATCTTGGCTGTTACTGGTTATGTATCTGCACATGTCCAAGACACTTTTTGTCTCTTCAAACTGAATTAAGAAATTGTACTTAGCAGGGCTAGGGACTTGACAAAATTAATTCTGTGGCACTTCATGTTTACAGGGGAAAACATGAAGATTTCTTGGTTAAGAAAATATCTTAACAAAATGCAGTATGTTGGATAAATTTCCTCTTGCATTTAGAAAAATGTAATTTTTTTTTTAGAGTAGATGGCTTATAAATACAGTAATTATATAATACATACTTATAGCTCAATTTATCAAGGTTTTAAGCACTATGATACTGGTTCTTTCAAAAGGGAATGGTACCAGAGATCCAAAATCATTACTTTCAAGAGGAAGTGACATTCAAGTCCCAAGGAGATGTGAAGACCTGAAAACCAGCACCACTGGTTCCTTTTTTGTCCTCTCCTATTAGTTTCTTTTGACTGAAATAAGCTGGGGAAAAGTAAGTTGCTACAGTTAAAAAGAAGTCCATAATTTTGCCAACGACTTAAGGTTCTCAAGTTAGATGAAGGAGCTGACATCTGATAACCTAGCAGAAGTGGGGCTAAAAACTACTACTCTGTTCCAGAGTGCAGGGCTTGACTGCAGAAAACTCCTCGTGATTTCTTGTTAGTGGTGTTTTTGTACTGTTGGAAGATTTGGTTCAAAGACTGTTGCAGAACTAACGGGTCTGGGTTTCCCCTCTACCAATATCGTCTGTCAGCTGTAGGGCTCTAAGTACCCCCAGACTTACCAGCCATTTCAGCCTCAAGGAGAACAAGGTGCTAAAGAAAAACACTGTCCAAATAACTGGACAGATAATGAGACCAAGCCAAAAGATTCGAGCTTCAGCTTCGGTTGAGGCAGCTATTGTAGGCACCTAGAAGGAAAATTATTGAAACTACTAGTCACAGAGACAAAATCCACAATAAATAACAAATTATCAGAGGAGGAAGAATGGAAAAAATTACTTCTTTACCTAAATTTCACTTATTATATGCATACAAGGAAGATTGAATAAGAAGAGAAGTAGCTAATGCCAAGTTTTCTGCCCTACTGTATGTCACAGCATTTTCTTTTCAAAACGTTCTGGTCTCTGTTCACATTTAAATGAGGTAATTATTCCTTTTGTCAATGATGGCTCCCACTAACACTACAGATTAGTAGTATTTTAAAGTCAAAGTTCTGTTACACTGCCAATTGCTTTTAAACTTCAGAAACACTACGTTAACTTTGACATTAGATGCAAACTTTACCAAGGCCTTAGAGAAGTGTGGAACAGAAGACAGTGTTACAAGCAGAACTTTAGTGCGAGTACTTCGCTGTCTGTAGTGTAGATTCGTGACATGTGCCCTGTCCAGAAATTGAAAGTATGGGAGAAAAAAATCAGTCCAGTATCAGAAAGGCTATAGTATCTGATATGGAAATTGCAGTGAGCTGTTGCAAGTGCTAACAAGCAAACTATAAAGATTCCTCACAGGATTTCTCAGTTGGTCCCAGTTCAGACAAAGGAATTCTCCTAACAGTGCCCATTTCCATACGTTTTCCTAAAAACACACAGTATCTTAGCTTCACTTAAATCTTTGTGTGAAGCTTATTTTTCTATTATGTGAACAAATACTTCAATTTTGCTTATGAAGTCCACTGATATACCATAAATTAAGAACTGTGGCTTTGAACCAGCCTCTTCTGTAATACTAGTGCTGGACACCACAGTAACTGCTGGCCTCTCTCTGAAAGAGGCACTGTTCTCCACGGTGCTCTTTGTGTTCTTCAGGGAGAGCAAAAAACCTCCAGGCAGGCTGCGAAAAGCCCTGGTTGCACATTTCTTCAGGTCAGCGCAGCTCATGTATCTCTATCTACACTGAAAGGCTCATGTTAACTCCTAACACTTGAAAGAAACTAGAGAGAGAGAATTGTTCAGAAGGTTTGACCTTTCCTAGGAGACCGGAATTCAAAATCTCACTCCAAACCTCAGACCACTCAACCCCGACTAGTACTAGCTTCTGAAATACAAGCTCCACAACTGGAAAAGAAAACCCTGTGGACACTTCCGCTCTGAAAACAGAAAAGCCTTTTAGTTCATTTTCAGTATCTTGAATTCTCCTTGTAAAAGTAAGACTCATCCACCCATCCATCCACCAAGAGGCAGGCAATGGCATCCGCCTTGTAAATACAGTTAAGTTACTCCATCTTGCCTAAGAAAGCCCTGAAAGATGCAATAATAAGGAGTCTTTAATTTTTTCATGTTCTATGAAAAAGAGAATATGTTCTGACATCACCGTTACAGAAAAAAACAGATGTTCTGAGTCAATAAGAGGGTTTAATCACTTGTATCTCCAATTACTGACAAATGACCCAACAGAGACATTGCATTAGCACTAACTATTTAAGAGGAAAAAAGTCAATACACCTGAGAACTCTGCACCTAAAAGACCTAGTTAACTTGATGAGCAAGATTACAAAAGGCTGCAGTCACCCCCAAGAAGATGGGAATTATAATGTAAGTGTAATGATTGGCTTTTTTTTCCAGCAACCTCAGCAGAAGACAGGATTTCAATGGTGAACCTCTGTTGCATCAGCAGCCCGCCAGGAATTTGCCATTTATTGTTGGTGAGTGACTTGGAATATTTCCATGCAAACTTATCTGTAAAGCAAGAGATCTTAAAAAGTTGCTGGAGAACTGGCAAAGGAGCTGGGGAATGCCTGACTCTGGAAAGTAAGAGAATTGCGTGTCCTCCAGGACCTCACCATGACAAAGTATTTCTCATAGATAAACCATGACAAAAATACGATCCACTCTAATTCTATGTTCCTTCTCCTGGTACTATGGCTTTCACATTAATCAAGCTGCTATTTGCCAGAGTTTTTGGAAGGCTGTAGCCTATACAGATGAGTCAAATTTGTACTGCTAGGCTAGAAGTGAGGAACTGTACCAGGTGAACTAGGCTTGCTCATCTCGCAGTCACTTTGAGGGCAGGAGGTCATTTTGTGGCTGCCACTGCTTTTCAGTGCTAAGAAAGCTCTCGCTTACTGCCTGGACTTGACAGAACCAAGAAATTAGTTTCTCCACTTCCATGCAGGCTTGCCTACACTCCCTTTTTAGGTTTCAGCTGGATGACAGGACAAACGTTAACATGTGTTACCCTCTTGCTGGCGTGCAGCCCCGCTCCGCACCCTGGCTGCAGTGCCCGCAGGGTGCTAGGGGGCACCCCAGGCCTGCGCGCCCCAGGCTGTGGTGTTCAAGCCAGGGGCTGGCTTGAGAGGAACGTCCTGGTGAGCGGCACTTGATGTGTCGCTCTGCCAGGCTCCTGCTGGATGGGCCCGTTGAGGGAATGTCAGCGAGTGAAGGCAAAGAGCTGCAGCCTCGTCGCTGGCAGCCACACCAAGGGCCACGTACAGCTTTTCTGCTCAGGGTGTCCCGGCAAGCACCAGCAGTACCAGAGTGCTCTGTGATCCGGGTTCTGTTCCCCACCATGTTGCATGAGCACAAATAAAATCTTTATTGTAAAATAATGAATTTGAACTATTCATCGTTGCTTTCAACATAGATTTTTTTTTTTTTTTTCCTGGAGAGGATTCTGCATTGGGACTAATTATGGGAAGATGTGTTTATTACAAGATGTTCTCACTAGAAAATAAAATAGAACTACTAGAAACATTTCATACTGATAGTACCATCCTATGAATATTTATTCTGCTGATGCACATGATGGCAATGTTTCGAGACCAGCTTTGTCCCAAGTGCTTCCAGTATGTGACAATCCAGGATGCTGGAAGGGAATACTTGCATTATCTTCTGTAGGAGCTGGATAAACAGTAACTGCTAAAAGGTGCTCTATTTGTTACTTTAGCTGACTTAGTATCAGCTTTATAAGCTGTCCTATGGATTCTGTTTGTCCTGTGTTTACTTTTATTAACACACTTACCCTTTTTGCTTCAAACACCCAGTGGCTTTTTCCATCTTCATCAATCTGGTTCCACCAACGCAAACCAACCAAAAGTCTTCCTGTCACATTCTAGTGACAGAAACAATTATTTGCATTAATTAGTTACATAATTCACCTGTCAGACTAACATTGTTTAAAAAAAAAAGACAAGCATGTCTGAAAATCATATTCTTTTATCAAACACTAAAATTAGTTCCAGAAGCTGTGCCAGCTTGAGCACAACAGTCATTAAGGATGGATGAGTTACCACAAATTTAGAGGCCTGTTCTCCTCTTGTAATATGATAATTAGCACAATAGCATTGATTTAGGTAAGAAAATATGATGTATCTTTTATAAGTCAGTTAATTGGAGAATAACCAGATTTCCTCAGTAAGAGAGAACTGAATAAAAACCACACTGAAAAAAATTGGAAGATTAATTATAAGCAAGTAAGCTGCATGGAATCAAGCAAACAAATTAAGAAAATATTTCTGCCCCTGGATGAACACTAGAAGTTTTCAGTATACGGGAGATGCATTGATGCTTCAATTCTACAAAACAGAAGCCTTGTTCCACAAGCCGAGCCCCCAGGATTCTGGGCTGGTCTGACCCACCTGCCTGTGCGTGATTAAGGCACGGGTGCCATAGCTGGGCTCCCAGGAGCCTCCTGCAGCTTCTGCATGCTGGGGCGGGGCACAGCATTGCAGCTTTGGACATCCTTTGGCATCCATTACTGAAAGCCAGTGTTGCTTTATTTCTTTTTTTTTTTTAAGGGAGAAAGCATACAAACAAATCTACCTATGGCAAAGCAATTTTCTCACCATATTAGTAGCTCCCATCAGCCACAGAGAACATGGTGATAAATATTAACTCTAAGATATGTAAATACCTTAATTAAAATGGGCTGACATTTAGTAAATCGACAGATTACCATGTCTTTGTCACTTTAGTCAAGATACATATTTGCTTTTTTGTTTTATTTAATGGCACACAAAACACTTTCAAAGGTAATTATTATTCAGGGTCATCTTACCTTAACTGACCAAAAGTCAAAGGATAGAAGGAGGAGAATAGTGACAAAACAGGCAACAAAGCTGTTGCTGAACCAGTCACAGAACAAGTAGGTAATAATAGCACTCACTCGGAAAAACAGGTGGAAAAAGGTGGCCAATGGGTGCCTAGGAAAAAAAAACACAGAGCACAAGAAGGAATGTTCCAGGATTTGCTAACAATGCAATAACACAACTATTTCTAGTCTATCATGGTGTTTTGGTTTGTGGCTGCTGTTATTTCATGAGTTGGTGTATATCTTCATTATCAAAGCAATAGTATTTCCAATAGCTAACCTTCAATCTAAAGGTAAAAGATGGAATGTGTTGTTTCTGTAAAAACTTTCTTAAAGTTTCTTTGGTACTGCATGAAAGAATTCAGTGGTGGTTTTCAACACTGTACCCTAAAATCCTCATCGCTTCATGAAATAAATCAGCCTTGCAAGGCACAAAAGAATTGAGACAGATCTTATGCCTTTCAGAACTGTTTTGAAAAAAAGAACAGGAACTCTGAAACCAAAAAAAAATTTAGGAAAAAAAAAAAAGCTGTTGCATATAAACCAAAATGAACCTTCATATGTAATGTCTGAAACTAAACACTTCCTTTTACAGAGGGAGCGTGATTTGGGAATCTAACAGTTCTTATGAATGAATGTTCCTTAATTCCACAAGATATTTGTGCTTTGTTCATCAAACTAAATTTTGTCCATAACAAAATAAAGGGGAATTTCAGTGGAAGAAGTAACTATATGGCATGGAATATTGGCCTGTACAGCAAGATGGGTTTTGGAGAATGCACTCATGAGCACAGTACAATTCTCAGGGTAATATGCCAAGTCCAAAAACTTACTCTGCACAGTTGTGCTGTGTTCATTAAAGTGACAATCTGAGGCTATTGCATTTAACTTCTTCCCTTGAAGCCGAGTGGATAAAACTTGTATTATGAACAAGAACTTTAAGTCAATGATTCTCTCATTAAGCTCCTCTACCTCTGTAAACAATTAACAGTAGTATGGCCTAGGCCATAATTAACCAGCTATCAAATTTGTTATTCTATTATTGTATATAACAAAACGATACATATATACACAACTAAAATTGTTTATAATAAACTTGGATTATAATTAGATTTTAATTATAGTTATTATATCTATATACTTACTGTAAAATTATTATTCTATACCTGTTTAACAGCTATAGTAATTATCTGTTCTATAATGGCAATATTGTGCTTGTGGTACTACACACACGACTAGAGAAGCAAGAATGATGCACAGCTGTAGCTTATATTTACTCCTGACCATGCCCAGGCTAACCTCAAACTTTCCCAAAACTTCTTGTGACTTAAAACTAAACATGTGACATTTCAAGTGAAAGGAGCTTTTTCTGCCATGGGCGGGTGGGTGGTGGAGGGAATACTGTGAACTGTCAAAAACAGATAGTGCCTTGCTACTCCAAATCTTGATCTTGTTCAAGAAGGCACAAGAGTTCATTACGTAAGTGGTACCTTCTGTCAACACAAGCTACTCGTAGATCAGAACCCTAAACTGTGTGGGGGTGGATGGAGCTTTTACAACTGTATCAATGCTTCAAGTGTGAAAGTGACTTTGGAGAAGTAGTGTTTCATTTTGGAAGTCAGATGATGAATGACTGTTTGGACACTGAATCTGTTCCAGTATCAAACTTTGAAGGATGTTCACTAAAAAACCCAGCACATGAGCAAGAGGCTCACATTTATTACAGCGCTAAACACTCTACTGAGACTATGGAGCACCAGTCATCTCGCAAGGATCCAGCAAGCCAAGCCACAGACACTGACTTGCAGGTTCTTGTCCTAGGGGAGCAATATGGAGATATATCAAAACGTGTCTTTGGACAACTCCCTCAATCTCAGAAAATGTCCACCTATGTATGATTTAAAAACAAACAACAAAAAAATCCTGAAACTCACAGAATCCAGCAAGTAAACTGTTCACTTCCTCACTGAACAGAACAAATGTGTTTTCTTAATTCACAGCCATCAGTTGAAACTTACAGGTCCTACCATATACAAACAATTTTTAATAAGGAGATAATCCCAGATAGATAAAATTGTCTTTTAAAACCTGAAGCTAAACCATCTGCATCCTTTTTGAAACAAAAAAACTTCAAAGCTTTTCTTAAGCCAATGCATTTATATTGAATTCAATTGTACTTTGTAAAACTTTTTTAAAAGCTGATTTCCAGAAATCTGATGGCATTAAGAAATCACTGTATAGACTACCATGATTTCTTGTACTAATGGAAGACAGTATAGTCTTTAAAACATTATAACTGTTTTCTTTTTATTTTTTTTTTGATTCAAATCCAATACAGGATAAAGGCAATTAAGACCCTGCACTGGCTCTGCTTGGCATACACTTGCTCCTGAAAGCATAGCAACCCGCATGCTTGGACTTTTAGTTATCCTGTTGCATCTAAACCTCCATGCAGTGTACAACTGGAGCCCTGAGGCTAAATGATTACCATTCATCTGGTTACAATCACCTCTGTTCAGTTGCAAGCATGATGCCTATTAGGATAGGAATGAGCTGTTACAAACTTAGTTGCATCCCATATTAAGGAATCAAATTGGGTCAACCCTATCGTATACCACTGAACCACAGGAGAATCATTCCCAGGACTGGCTCAGAAGTGCCACAGCAGCATTCTACATGCTGCTTTTTATACCTCTGTCTGCTACTTCAAATATATCTAGGCAAATTTTGAACACAGGCTCTCTGGCTTCATCATCTTGTGTTGAAAAAGAAGTGATCATATGCTCCTAACTATTCCAGAGCAAATGTTCTGGTACTGCAAGGATCTGCAAGGATGGTGTAAGTTACCTTTTTCCTAACCTTTTTATAAAAGTAGCCACTAACTAAATCACTATCCACATACCTTTTGCATTTAAGGAGCACTTGCATATACCTTGGAGAATAGGAAAAGCACAGCTTGTCATACCTTATGCAAGCGCTAACCAAGTTCAAGATATATGAAGTTGGAATAAAGTTAAACACAAATGACTGGAACGTGTTGTTATGCCCTCTAATAAGACAAGAAAATTTTGCAGCACATGGGCATGTTCCAGGCTCATTTGAACAAGAATTTTCAGAAATATAAAACCAAACTTCTGTGTAAACAATATAAGGAGTTTCATTTCTGTATTCTATAGCAGAAGATTTTTCAGTATGATGTTATCTTATAGTATTGTCACAATGAGGGCAAGAAAGAAGAGTAGTCTCTACTGAAATAAGTATCTGCACAAAGCGGATCAATTAATAGTATGGTTTACTGATACTTTGCCTGTCTATGTTACCAGGTAGTGTGAACCACTAGGAACAGGTCTCTAGAGTGAAGTAACTGGTGCTGTGGACCTCCTACAAACTTTTCAGGGTGGTTTCACACTAAGTCTAGTCTGGTCCCATAGACTGAATCTGTGGTTCGTGTGCTCAAGACATGCTCCTAGACTGTATTTCCCAGGTCAGTTTAATCCATTAGGCTATGTTCTCCAAGACTCCACCAAAATACAAACATTAATTTCAAATGTGTGCTGCTGCTAAAGCACAGAAACAAAGAAACTCAGGGAATATCAGCCTTTCATCATGGCTGACTCATGTAGTTGCAAAGTCCGATGGACTGTAAGGGTGGAAATGCTTCACCAGACACTGGGAAAACACAGTAATTGTATTGTAAAGCTATGTGATTGCTTGTTTGTGCCTCTCAGACAAGAGATGCTAAGCCTAACACAAATGTTATTTTTGTTTATGCCTACAAGAAATAGTAACGCTGTAATGGACCAGAGTAAACTGGGGCAAGGTGGAAGGGAAGAAAGCAATACAAATCCAAGCTGATTATACACATTATTGATGAGTGCATGCACATGTATAATTCCTTTTGACGCAAAACTTCTCCCTTGACAGTCTTTGACTGGAGATTCTTCAAAAGCCACTGACTGGACAACAGTTCTGTTGCCTATGACCTGGGGGTTGACAAAGCTGCAGCATGACGCCTCTGGTAACGTAATGGTAGGCTGCTTAACCTGACAGATAAGATAGATCAATGGGTTGGGTTTTCTTAGGTAACAGCCACAAGGATAAGAAATACTATATTTCACATAACATCCCATCTTGTGGTAGGAAAACACGGCAGTTTTACTGCCAATAACTTGCTGTTTCCCTTCAGCCGGCTGTGCAATGCAATGCCAGAGCACTCTGCTGCAAAACTTGTTTTGCTGAAGATGGGAGCTCTCTCCACTTCTCTGGCTCTAACAAAAATACTGGTTGGTTGGGTTCGGGGTTTTTTGGTTTGGGTTTTTTTTCCTTCGGTGATATGTTG